TATCGCTTAAGCATTATTTGTTATTTTTCTAATTTCTAACTTGTTCACAGGAAAGTAAAAAGAAGGTAATTAAAATCATATGAAATTCCACCTCCCAAAGCTAACTCAAAGTTAAAATTTCATTTTAATAGAAAGATCTTTACATTTTAAGTAAGAATAGCAGAATTACCAAATATGTTTAGTACATTCCCATTTTCGTAAAAAAGAAATTATATAGATATTTGCTTGAAAATAAGTCTGGGGACCGGCGTGATGGTTGGGAACTGGCTTGGGACGCCAGAGGGCCAGTGATGCTGCCCTCCACAGCTAAGATGCTGAACAACAGCTCAACCTGGAGCTGGGCTGCCGTGGGTCACTGGCGACAGCGTGGGCTGCAGCCCCTGTGGCAGTGGGTTGCCATGGGCTGCCATGTGTGGCCAGCAGCCGCTGTGAGCGGTCGTCCAGAAGCCGGCAACTGATGTGCCTCGCCCGGTAAGAGCGCAATGATGGTGCCAACTTGGGCCAGAGAAGCGGTGTCCTCCACGGCTAGACTGAGGAACAAAACGACAGCAACCTGTCTGTTCCCCTTCCCCCAATTCCCCAGCACTGTTCCCATCCTGCCAATTCCCCAATAAAAATCTTAAAAAAAAAAAAAAAAGAAAAGTCTGGAAGGATGTAAGCAAAAAATGAACAGTGGTGATCTCTGGAGAGAGGGCTTTTCATGTTTGGGGGTAATTTTTAGTCTTATTTGATATCTAAAATAAACATATGCTAGAAAAAAGTAGATGAAATCTACTAGCCTTTTCTGTGCATATTTAATATTAAATATTTTACAGAATCTCAGTTGTACTATATGTTTTATATCATGCTACTATCCTGTCTTTTTTCATGTGAAATATCATGTTATTGAATATTTTTAAAAAAGATTATTTTTACTGGCTGAATTATAATTCATGGGTTAGTCACCTTATTTAGCTATTTCTCTACGTTGTTGTTCACAATTTTTCATCACTTAAAAAGTACTGTGATTAGCATTTTGATAAATCAGTTATTGTCTGCATCTCTGATTATTTCCATAGAGGGGATTCCTAAAATAAGCACTATTGAGTCAAAAGAGATGAGTTTTGTTTTTTTTAAAACATTTGGCTTACTTTTTTTTTTAAACTTTATTGGGTAACAGTGCGTTTTCCCCAGGACCCATCAGCTCCAAGTCAAGTTGTTGTCCTTCAATCTTAGTTGTGGAGGACGCCGCTCAGCTCCAAGTCCAGTCACTGTTTTCAATCTAGTTGCAGGGGGTGCAGCCCACCATCCCATGCTGGAGTCCAACTGGCAACCTTGTTGTTAAGAGCATGCGCTTTCACCAACTGAGCCACCTGGCCGCCTGAGATGAGTATTTTAAGATGTCTTACTGAATGTGTTTCTTTGAAGATACAGTAACACTGAATTGCTATTCTTTTTGGTTCCAGTCCTGCCAGTGGCATTGCCTAGTCCTACGCTTTATTCTCTATGGAAGCAGCAAGGAAAAAAGTGGAAGCAGCTTGGAATGCCCATTGCACTAGTGGGCAGGAGACTTAGCTTCTTTAGGTCAGAAAACTCCTAAATGTCCAGAAGCTTAACTTACCTTAACTTTACAATTAGGAGAGGGGTTTCAGCCCTAAAATTCTCTAGTTCTCAGGCTACCAGGAGAAATGCTGGGCTCCACATCGTGGGAAAAGAAGCAAATGAAGATACCTCAGTAGAGGAGATGTTTTTATAGCCCATTATCCAGATGTGCTTTTTCATAAATGAAATGAATTCCTTCACAACACTGTGAAGCAGGTATTGTGATCTCTGGAGGAACTGAAGCCCAGAGTACTGAGGTAATTTGCCCGAGATCACTCAACTAGCAAAGGGCAGAAGAATCTAATCCAGGTGTGTGTGGCTCCAAAGTCTGTGCTGTTGATACTTCACAATATTTTTAAGTTGGAGAGAAATCTTATTTTTATGGGCTTGAAATTATAACCCCACACACATCACAAGTTCTACTCTGATAATTTCTCTCCTAAGAACTTTCATTTCAAAGATATTTGATGGAGAAGCACTATTAATGCATTAACTCCAATACCAGAAAAACAGTATAAACAGACCCATTGGGAACAAAAATATTAATCTTAGAAACCACAGGAATTCTCTCAAAAATGTTTCAAACTATTATGGCAACTTTTTTCTTTTTTCTACCTGAAGTCTATATTGGTCAGTCCTTTACTTTTAGACATTTTTCTCTCCTCAAATATATGAAGAGATACCCTATGAATCTGAAAGCATGTGAAAGTACAGTGCAGTGTTTTAAAACAATTTTATTATGTTATCTGTTCCCTGGGACTCTCTATTGTTCACAGCCTTCCTGTTACTTTTCTTGGTCTCCTCTGTTTTTTTGTGTGTGGCAATACTCCACAAAGCCTTGTAGAGCCACTGAGAAGCAGATTTCTATCACCATAATAAAATATCTAAGATAATTTCTCATAGCTCCATGCATATGCTACCAGCTTCAACATCCTTTAGTGAATTAATCTTTCCAGTTTCAACAACATGAAGCTACATTAGTTTTAAGTGATGACAACATCACCATCCCTGCAGGAACCATAAGTTTGCCAGACAATACATAGTTAAAACCTTCACATTTTCAAGAGATGTAGTTTGGCTGTTTTTACAGAAATCAAACCATCCATTTTAAGTCTTTAGTTTTTTCACTTTTCTATTTCATTGAATTGTTTTTGCTATTTATTCTTGCAGCTTTTATTGAATTTCCATTCAGCTCCATGGGGCAGGGGCTCTGTTTGTCTCACTCACCATTATATCCCTATCACCCAACACATAGCAGGTGCCCAATAAATATATATATATATTTTTGCCCCCAGCTTTATTGAGATACAAATGACATATAGTGACAAGTATCTGTTGAATGAATGAATGTATTCTTACCACATTGATTTGAAACAACACTTTTTATCATATTTTAAATATAGTAATCCTTGCTAAGCTGGGAGGTGGCTTTCCACAAATACTGCCTCACAGTTGGCAAGACAAATCAAGGTGTTGTAGAAAATAGGGAGTGGGGAGAGGAAAGAAACAAACCCCCTGACAAATTTAAAGTTGGGGCAGGGCATGTGTTTTCAAAATAAGCTAGATCATTGGCTGTAAAGATCTTTAGTAGGAAAGATTTTTCTCTGAATCACCTTTTTCATAAGATATCAGGGCAACATTATCTATCTACTGAGATACAATGTCCTGCAAATGTTTTGCTATGCTTGTACAGACTGTACCTCACTGGACTTGAAATATAATTATTTTTGCTTTTGCATTCTTTCTTGATTCATTTTCTGAATCCATGATGGGAAATAAATCTGTATAGATTTATTCAGAATGATTCCATTTAGTGGAATAGTTAGCATCTGTGGCCAGATCTATATGACCCAAGAGGTAGTTTTTTTCTTTGTCACTTAGAAGGCAAACATTTCACAATTAATTTAACAAATACCATTCTTAGGTTCATTATTAGCTCAGGCTACAACAGGCATAACCTGTGCTGCAACCTGTACTGCAATTTTGTGCCTACTCATTGATGTACAAGCATGTCCTTTACATTTTTGTTTTAACCTATGTCTGCTGTTTTTGTTCCATCAAGGGTGAAGGTATAATCTTCCTCCCCTCATAATCAGCCACTTCGGTTCTTTCTCTGGTTATAAACAATGAAACAAATGGGACAATCTGACCCTCAAAAATGTGGGATTCAGAGAATCAAGGCAAAAATGCAACATTAAGGTACTTTATGTCACCACGGACTGAAAAGGACACAGATAATAACTGGGAAAATACGGTGTCAAGAAATGATAAAAATCATGATAATTTTTGTGTGGGCTCTGCCAATACTTTTTAAACTGGACCTTTGTTTCCTTGAGTTTTCTCTGTTCTGCTCTTGCTAGTCTGAATAATTTTTACCAGTGTCAGGGAAAGGACCTAAAACAATTGCACCTGGTGTAATGGCTGGCCACATGGGCCTGAGGTATTGCTGGGTTTTTTGTTGTTGTTTGTTTTTTAAACTCTTTTCGTTTGGTATGAGAAACACCATCCCTTCCTTCAGAAACATTTATGTATTTCCAGCCTTCTTTCTATGCAACCTTACCAAGATTTTTCTCAGCTTTTTCTCTGAGTGCCAACGGATCCATCTGTTTCAAAGCAACAAATGAAACGGTCTAAATAAACACAATCTTATCGAAGTTTGCGGAGTCACCCACTCCGTTTTTATGGAAATGTTGGGGCACTCTGCTCTCATAGGCTGAGTCCTTTCTGGGGAAACGTGGATTTCCCCCATCCTACTGTGAAGGATGGAATGACGGGGGAGAGGGGAGTGGGGTGTGTGTGTAAAGGCACACCTGCATTTCAAGGATGCCCACCTAAACTACCAGAGGCTCAAGCTCGGTTTAACTGGCAATTCCACAAAGGGCGCGCCGTCCTTTTCAAGTGATCGAAAGCACCTGTTCAAGGTCGGACATGCAATTATGATTATATTTGCAATCATCAGCAAGGTCCCGCAGGGCCTGGGGGTGGGGTCTACGGCGAGTCGGTTCTCGGCGTCCCACGGGCCCCACCTGGTGCCCAGCAGTCCGCGCAATCGCGAGGAAAACGCGCCCTCTCGCGACAGATTTCCCGCCGCAGCTGGGCCTGGAACAAACTCCACCCCGCCC